AGGGACTATGCCAATTGGTTGCGTGTCGCCACGGATCACTACTATCCACTAGTTTCAGTGGGAAAAGGGTATGAAGTGTGCATACTTCCTCGGCTCGGGGTGAATCTGTGTTCTGGTTTGCTGGTGGTAATGTGTGTCTTGCGTGCTGCAGGCTATCCGAGCTTTGCATGATCAGCACAGCTGTTTCTTTGCACCAGTATGAGACATGCAGCATTATCCTGGCGCAACACATCAGCAAACACTTTGAACCCATTTTTGAACACACCCTTGTTGCTGAGCCAATGTTAGTGGGCTGTTACACCACTTTAAGGTTGTTGGGTTTTTTTTTTTCAAATTGTCAGGCTATGGGGATGGAGGTTTATACAATTAATTCATGTGTTTCTATCTTGTCCTTGGATAAATATTGTAGTTACACTATTGGAATAAAAAGATTAGTCGCTCACTAGCCTTTTAGTCACTAGTGGGCAGACACACATCCACAGAAATGACCACGAGATGTGAACTGTTTGTATAATGTCTTTGTAGTGTGTGTGTGTGTGTGTGTGTGTGTGTGTGTGTGTGTGTGTTTGTGTGTGTTTTGTCATCGATGTGTCAACAATGTCTTTATTATTGTGACTGTAGTTTGCTTTGGCATCTAACTTCACTATGTCATACTGAGGGATTATTGCCCCCCCCCCCCCTGCCGGTTCTTTACAACAAAACATAAGAGACATCTGAAGATAATATTTTTTTAAATAGATTAGCTGCCCTTAAGCTTAAATACCACACTGTAAAAAAACAATGCCTTCCTATGCTTTAACCTTGAAAAATGACTTACTGCTGGCACCCAAGATGTCTTTTGGTCCTGGAGACATTGGCTCAACACAGTACTGACACAGACAGTCCTTCCCGTTGAAGGTCACCCTGTCTCCGGCTGGGAATGGCCGTCTGTAAAGGGGATGAGATCAATAACAAAGTGAGCCGAGACCCTATGGTTTAAGTTAATTGAGCACGGTCAGAACAGACAATGAGTATACTGATGAAAATGCTACTTTCTGGTACCTTTTATTTTGTTGTAATAGGAAATGTTTATAAGACTGCACTAACCATCAAGGTGAATTCACATTCTATTCTGCTTATTACAACCCAAGATATATTGGAATCTTACTTGCAAACGGTGCAAACAAAGCAGGCAGGGTGATAGGTCTTGCCCAGTGCAGTGACCACTTCCCCCTCCACAAAGTCCCCACATCCAGTGCAGCGGGTACCGTGCATGCGTTGGTAGTCCAATGTGCACAGATAATCTCCATTCTTCATGAAGAAGCCGCCCTGGGCTAGGTCACATCCGCACGCTGAGCAGAGCACACACAGTGGCATGGGCCGGTTACCGCTCGGCCCGCAACACAAGAAACACCCAGTCAGGGTGCTCGGTTGTCACCACTACTTACTTGTGCACAAAGATCACTGGGTGCTTGAGAAAAAACATAGACCGAATATGAATTCTTTTCAAATTGTGTCTTCGAGACCTGTGACGCTACTCATTTTCCAAAGGCGGGGTACCTACTAGCTTGATTGTTCGTGGCAATTCAAGCTCTGTCCCTTTTTACTGTTGAGGGCCCAATGCAACAATTATACAATTGTCCAGCTCAGGAAACACCCTTGATCTGCCCCAGAAGATAACTTGGCTTTGAATAATTCACACTGCAGTTAGTTCCGTCTATTCAATTATAAGCATGTCATTTAGGCAAACAGGATTGCGGAAAAACAACGGTTGGATTCATAGCAACAAAATGCTGGATGATAAAACTGATGATCTTATATGACGAAACCTGTTTTTTGTATATCTTACACAAAATTGGCAGATGACCTTTGACAAATGCAAACGTAACGAAAATAAATCCGTTGACTCGACCTAAACAGCCTGTGCACTTGAAACGCTGTGATAAGTTTTCACTCCTTGTATATCCATCCATCCTTTTTCTGAACCGCTTTACCCTCACAAGGGTCGCGGCTGGAGCCTATCCCAGCTGTTCTCGGGCAGTAGGCGGGGGACACCCTGAACCAGTTGTCGGGGAGAACATGCACACTCCACCCAGGGAGGCCAGAGCTGGAATCGAACCCACGACCTCTGCACTGTGAGGTTGACATGCTAACCACTGGATCACCGGGCCAGTCGATATTCATGGTATACTAAAATCTTGTGTATTATATGTATTTGTATAAGACGGTACGTTACTATTGTGCATATTGTATGAACTCACCCTAGTTTAGCTTATCTCTAAGGACACTAGCTTTGGAGCTGAGCGGTCAAAGGTTCAAGTCCAGCTGTGAACAAAAACTTCACTCTGAATCTCTCCTTGCATGCCTGCATGTGTGTGATCTGGTGCGCCATGTTGTGTGGAACACAAAATATACAGCAAAATTGAAGCTCACTTCCCCCTAGAGGGATAATAATATGTTTATTTTTAATTGTCGATATACAGATATTTTTGCACATAACGATGCCATGGCCGTGTGACTCGCAGTTCCAGAACCCCAGCGTGTGGCTTTTGTGAATCAAAAGGCTTTTGGAAATGCCGCAGAAAGGGGGCGAAATATTTTGACGCTTGCGATAACTTTCTCTAATCATTGTTATGCAATGAGTCCCGCTAAATCCTGTGGATGAATGGGAGCGAGAGTGAGGGGAAGGCCAAGATTTAATTGCATTAGGGCTCAGGGATGACGAGATTAACATGGAAGCTAACTGATTTGACAGTAACCCCGCGAATTGAGATTTAGTAGCCTTTTGAATGGTGACCATCATTTTGTACTAAAAGATATGACGTTATTGCATCAACATTTTCCAACAATTAAAAGGGTAATCTAATTACAAGTAATGTTGGGGAATCATCAATTGCTCTATTCCACTAAGATAAATGCATTCTTGTGGTCGCTGAAGGATGTGTGTGTGTGTGTGTGTGTGTGTGTGTGTGTGTGTGTGTGTGTGTGTGTGTGTGTGTCTGCAAATAAGTAGGTAAAAATGACTAAACACTTTAAAGTTGAATATATAGTCAACTGGCATTCCAATTCAAGAACCACAACTCATGACTAGCACTCCTATCTCTATTCGCAAGCTCCTGCAGGTGAGTACAAACACGTACTGTACAACCCCACTATGGCATGTACATCCACTTGCTGAGGACACAAATAGGTACTAATCTCAGCATTTGCTTATTTAGAGTTCGTTATTCCCAGTACTCGGTGATAGCTGTAACAGTGCACCAGTCACAGATTAACCACCAAAGGTTTCACTACGACAAGTTGAGCCTTTAAGCAGGAGACACTTAGGCCAGCCGAGGGCACCAAAGCAGAAACCATGCCAGAAATTCATCACTAATAGGGTTAAACACTGAAGTCGGGCTGGATTGAAGATGAGCCTATTGATGTCAGACGCAGGATTCAATTCAGACAGTACCCTACACGACATGGTTAGATCATGTCTTAAAGTAATCAAAGAAATCCCTACTCAGTACATTCTGTCATTGTTTTTGACTCATAGGTACAATAAGGACAATCATATTGTACGAAACACATTTGTGTTCCACCCGGCAGGATGCACGCAGTGAAAACAAGCAGGAGTCCTACGATTGGGAAAGGGTCAAATGAGCAATGCATTGAAAAATATTGCACCTTTGCTGCCAATTTTCATTCAGCTCCCACGTCTTTGTACTTTATTCAGTAAAAATGGCTCAGCTAAACTTGTATTTTAGAATGGGAAGATAGATCAAATGAAAAAAACAAGCTGGCTAGCTAGGTAGTGTCACATTGCGTTTCTGGTCTATCGACACATCAGAGGCATAACAGTAGAGACATGAGTTATTCGCCTTTGCCGTTCAGATAGCACTTGCCGAAGCGGGACGTTTCCATGCACATTCACTCAGCCGATGCGGGTTGTCCTATTTCACATAATTGAATACATGGCAACGTCAATGTGACACTACCAAATACTTTCACTACAAAAGGGGCTTGTGCAGTGAGGCTTGGTTTTAAACTTGACACTCTGGTCGTCGCTGATTACTAATGTCCGTTACGTCAATGATACTACATAGCCGGCAAATTCCTCTGCAGACTTCAAGCCAGTTGGTACTTTACACACAGGACAGCGAGCCAGGAAAAAGCCAGCATAGATGCTGCGAAATTATTCTTGTGACCAAGAAACTGCCTTTTGGACAACATTTAGCTTCCAGCTTTGAGGAAGGCCCTTTTGAGCATTGTCCAGGAGGAGTTTGGTGTGAAAGAGCCTGAAGGAGCGTCAACCATGTGAATGAACTAATTCAGACCCTCTTGCCAATGACCTCATAAAAAATGAGTCAAACCAACATGTTTGCTTTCCTTTTCACTTCTCACAGATGTAATACATCATAATACCTTTTGGGAAAACAGAGTATCAGTGAAATATATGATGAAAATTTAGAACAGTACAAGAAAAAGTCATTGAGTGTTATTTATTCTAATGTGCACACTTCATGTACAGTACGGAAAGGAGACCTTGAGGTTTGTGTTTGTTTGCGTATTCAGCAGCGTGTTACTGTACCTTTACAGGTGAAGCACTTTAGATGAAAGTGTTTGTTTTGAACCCGCAGCACCTCGCCCTTGCATGGCTGCCTGCACTTATAGCACTGGATCAGGGGCTTCTCCGTGGAGTGGTGTTGCGTATCCTGCGCATGAGCCACTGCAAAGAGAAGACACATTAGCATGACTAATGGGTTCACAATTGATGACGATGACTCATCTCGGCTGATCGGTGTGTGTCTGCACTTTCATGGCTCTTCTTTTTCTTGTTGTTCTCAGCTCATACGGTAGATACAACAGTTTACATGACCCTGGTCAAAAAAAGGAAAAAAAAAGACATTCCTTTTTTTACCATTAATGTTGACCTAGAACCAGTGTGATGCAATTGTTTTTTAATTACGAAAAGCAAAAGAAATTTCAAAATTGATTTTGAAATGTTGTATAAACATACTTGAAACTGGGAAAAATGTGTCATGGTGCGATGAAAACAAGGTTAAATGTTTTGGCCATAATTTCAAAAGTGTTTGGAGCAATCACAAGACTGCTCATGATCAAAAAGCACAACATAATTACAGTGAAGCATGGCGGAATTCAGCCTTGGTGAAGGTGGAGAGAATTATGAATAGTTCCAAGCACCAGTCAGTGTTAGCACAAAACCTTAAGGCTTCTCGGAGAAAGCAAACATTTGCCTATTACAGCCTCGTACAACAGCTGAACTTTATCCGGGGTTTGCCGAAGTGATTTTAACAGATGACAAGTGAACGGACTCCCATTTTCTATGTGTTTGATCGTTATATTGGTCAAGTCTGAATACAATCACATCCCAGTTGTAAGAAGGAGTGCACATTTGTGCAAACAGGTAATGTCAGTTTATTAGGTTATTTTTTGCCCTTTTCTTTTTCAGCTGACTTTTAGAGGTCATGTTAGTGGTGGAAAATATTTGGAAATGATTTATATCTTGGTCTCATTTTTTTAGCTAATAAAATATGGCATCCGAACATTTGTGTGTCGACTTTTCTTAGGCAACTGAATGTTTTATATTCTCTACACATGCAGTGTGTACACCAACATCACGCCTTAAACCAACCGCTGTTAGCATAATGCAGGAAAACAATTGGTGGGTCAGCACAACCCAGACCCCCTACACAGAGTGAGTGTCTGCAAACAGCAATCTAAATATAGTAAGTCATCAACAAAGCTGGGAAAAGCAGCGTAAGCCGGGGTCAAAGGTTAAAGATAGAATGACTTGGAGAACTTTCAACTCTCAACCAGATTCTAAAAATAATGTCAATCACTTCTTTTTTCCCCCACTGTTGGCTCTTGAAGTATTCACTTGGGTTGTTTGAGAGAGTGTCAAATATTTGACAGTGTGCAGATCCTGGCATCCAGTTCAGATAAGAATAAAACAGGCTTCCTGTGAAGATAGCGAGTTGATGAATGAGTGAAAGGAACAGAATGTTCACAGCGTTTTCTTCTGTGAAGTTTATTGGCAGAGAGTCTAAAAAGACAGATGACATTGCTTTAACAAACTTGTCTTGGCCCAAGTTGTAGTTATGGTTTCCCTTAGAATGTCAAATTGCTATGGGTGTAACGGTGTGCCGGAAAACCCGGTTTGATTTGTACTTGGGTTCGGTTCACATCGGTTACGGCAAGGGAATGCAAATCCAAGTCTTTATTCTACTGTATATCAAATCTCATTTTAAGTTAGAACTCAACAGCTTTAATGTTTTGTTTTGTGGTAAGTGCAACAACAATAGTTTGTTTTCTTTTTATCAAATAGCGCATACAACAGCCTGAACAGAGAGAAATGTGATACTATAAAAACATTAACAATAGCAATTTTTATTGCATTGGATCCATGTGAATAGCCCAAGAGAGGCTGTTTAAAGGCTGCTGAATGTTGTGGGTTTTTTTTTCCCCCCGTTAGCCATCGTGTCAGTTAACTAGAAGATGAGCTGCACTCGATTAGTTTACGGAATAGGTATTTGGCTAAAGCATGATGCACTTACAATTCTTGTCCCTTAATTGATATGTTCAAAGTAGGAACCCGAAAAATGGTCTCATCAATACATTATATAAGTACGCACAGAAGTCAAAGGAAAAAGTGCAGCAAGTCTTTGTGGGCCACATAAAATGACATTGAGGGCCCAATCCAGCATACAAGCCTTGAGTTGTACACCTGCCCTTCACTGTGTTGGGAGGAGTTTCTTGAAAAAAAAAAAAAAAGTGGAGGTACCTGAAGTCGACATTAATGCAACATAATGCATAGGATGCAACAACGTCTGTGCTGTTGCCGTACACGCAGTTTATCGATGTTTCTGACATCAGTAGATGACCGGTATACACTAATGAACATTATAAAGTCACTCTAACTCCTGCTTCCTATGATTGGTTTTAAAGCAAGCGGTATCACACACAATCATTTTGTGAACAGGAAGCACAAGCAAAGCATAGCCATACAAAAACTATTGCTTGATGTTTGATTTATCCTCGCGGAGAAATAATCACAATCACAGCTTCTTTGCTGTGAAGAAAATGGCATGGATAGAGAGAGCGTAAATACAAAAGAGGGGTAGGCACCTCTCCTTTGATGCAGTAACACTCAGTAGGACAATGAGTCATCTCTGGATGAACCAGACACTAAAGTCTCAACAGCTCTGAGTGTGACATTGCACCTCCAAACAATATCACAGGCCATCTGGATTACCGGACACTGCCAAAACTGCTTAAGCCTCTTTACCATTCACCGTATTGTAAAAAAAATATAAAAAGAAGGTTTAGTTAAAACTCGTGATAGACTCGAAAAATATTGTAAGAAATCATTTTGGTTTAAGAGAAGTGGATTCCTGCCATTGTATGGTGATAAATTACCTTTATAGCCCGCCTCAAGAAGCGTGTGTGTGTGTGTGTGTGTGTGTGTGTGTGTGTGCGTGTGTTTTGTATTCTACAAAAAGAGAGTGGGAAGACAATTACATCATTCACAACCTAAAACATGGAAGAGCCATTGCTAACATTATAAAGCTCCATGATTCCAAGCTCAAAACTGAGGTTTGGATGGGAAAGAGTGTGCTGAATTTTTGCACGTCAATGCAGCCTGCTTGCTCCACTTTAAATTGCTGTGGTCTTTCAGCAAAGTGTACTCAGGGTGGAGATTCTGTGACAAAGTAAAGCTCAGACAGGCACGCTACACCACAGGTTATTAAAAATTTAAAAACACAAAAAGGGTTTTACCTAAAAGCAGATTGGGACGTATCATGAGTTTAAATACAAACCCTATTCGCAACATCTTCATTATTTGCAAAAACCAACTAAAAAAAAAAAAAATTCTCTGTTGCAAACTAAGTGTTCTTATGATAGCAGCTTAACAAGAGTGCATGTTGTATAACACGATAAATAATAAAGAGCATGTTAAATGTAACAAACTCAGCACAAAGCAACTCACTCAAACAAACAAAAAAAAAGATTTGCGCACACATTCCTTAATCTTGGTGAGAAGTGTTGGCTGTACTGACTCTGTGATCTGTCCTGCTCCTCACAGAGGGATAATGTGACTGATATGAGACGAAACACACAATGAATACACACACACACACACGTACGCATAGAACCATGGGGTGCTGAGAAAGCAAAAACCAGCAGCGCATCCTGAAGTCTAGTGAAGAGGCATTAGGGGCGGGGTTTCTCACCTCACCCTTAAAGGCCTTCCGCCCTGCACTCATAAAATCGGAGCATCGCTGTGTCGGCAATAACAAAAGGGAAGGCCGTCTGAGGGCAAAGCAGGAAAGCTTTCAGTCCCCTGAGAGCTGATTTTCCTGCAACACATGCTCATAACCTTGTTGATTAATGACAATATTGACAGTGATAGTGCCTTAAATTACAACTTGAAACTCACCAGAATGCTCGATTTTAATAGCAGGTTGGGAGCACATCAGGGAAAAGGGAATTCAGACAAGAGAGGGAAGCTCTGATAAAATATTCATTTGCTCATTGCCTTTTGCGACTGTAAGATATACTGTACAGTGTCTCCAGCTGATACAGACAACATTCCCAAAGGAGTATGTGAATGGTGGGAAGAAAACAGACAAAGAGGTTGCATCCAATACAATAGGGACCCAGATGTGACTGCTCATGCTCAACCACTCATGGATAACTCGCCCTTGACCTTATTTTCTAAATGCATTCTGTGTGACACCTTCACAAAGGAGGGAACGATGAGGAACATGTGATGGCTGGGACACATGTCAGGACCAACGAAGGATCATGATAGCCAATTCAGAAAGAAGTGGTTTCAGATGCTCTCATTTATTCATCGTGAACCAGTACAACCCTTCTCCGTTTGTGTAATGCAAAACATCCACCAACAAACCCAACTTAAGTGAGAAGTAAATATCCACCTTAATATGAGGGTGTCCAAAGTCAATGGCATATTGAAAAGATTTAAAAAAAAAATGGCTTGCAGCAAAACATCATTAAGGATCAGTAGCCCATGACGCTGAAAGATTTTTAAAAAAGTACCGTGCCACGATACTATTATATTTGTTGTTATACCGTACAAATAAAACTGTACAAAGCTGAGAAAAAAAGACTCCCTGCTTCATTGGAGCTGCACTTAAAACTATACTGGGGTGTTTCTTGGCCCATAACCCAAAGTGAATGATGTGGAAAGTATTATGGTTTTTGTATGACTTTGATACTATAACAAAGAAAAACCATTGAAAACAGAATCAACTTTGTAGAAATAAGGAATTGTACCACAGTATCTATTTGTGTTTGGAAACTGATTTAATTGTGTTCAATCAGCGACAGTAACAAGACTGTATTAACTTACTGTACATTTCTCGGGAGATATAGTGAGCTCATCATAGAACTGGGGCACAGCCAGACCAGTATTACGGGTGATACACTTTTTTTGGACACATCAACTCTTGCAACATTCCAGAGGATAAAAATTCCACACACTCAACCGGTCAAGTTCCAACTGACAAATGTACCCGTAAGCCAAATACCTTGGCTTTGGATCACCTGAGCTGTGGAATATTGGGTTTCCTCTCAACAAAGGGGAAGAAAAACATCTTCAACATGCGCTGTGCCCTAGCAGGAAGTTAAACAAACAGGAGATGTGGAATTCAATTATGGGGAAGGAATTTACTTTCACAACAA